CAAGCAGAATTGTTCATAACCATTTTTGGTTCTCACCCGTCGAGGTGCAATTGAAATGCACCGAAACGAAGTTGCATCTTTGTAGTGAGTAAACTGTTTGTAGTGAGTAAACTGTTTTTGTCTATATGATAAAATTATATATATATATATATATATATATATATATAAATATATTTTATTTAAAGATAGGTACAAAATTTAATGATCAAAAATAAAAAGTTTGTTTTTTTTTACAATTCCTTTTATTTTACATTTTCTTGTTAATTTTAAATCTCCCGTTGAAGCCTGAAGAGCGGGAGCGAAACCGGTTGCTTCACCCGTTTTTTTTTTAATATGTCTCGTAATATTAAATTTTATACATTTATTTCGATCATATATATATATATATATATATATATATATATATATATATAATATATATATAAAGGAAATGTACAAATTCCATAATTACAGTTTTGAGACTGGGCCTCTGGCCTCTAGTCTAGACTCTTACAAATAAAATGTTTGTTTTAGGACTTTTTTTGTCCTCAAGGACACATGGTACGGTGGATAAAGGCGTTAGTTAGATTCAGTGACAAGACCCAAAGAGATAACAGACATCCATTAAAACATGGCACTAGAAGTCTACCTCAGTTCCACGTTTAATGGATGTCAGTTATTTGTTATCTCCTGTTAATTTCCCTCTCCAAGTTCTCCACTGCCTTAACCAGGTATTGAACTCACACTCTTTGGGTCCTGTCACTGAATCTAACTAACGTCTTTATCCACTCTGCCATGTGCCCTTGAGAACATGACATGTGGAACTAGAACAGTCTACCCCAGTGAGCGAAATAAAGGGTTCAGTTCGACATTCCAACAATCTGAAGAAGGTCGGAGCGTACAACGGCCGAAACGTTTATGGCGACTAAGATGAGGACAATAATCCGAATAATGTAAATAGTACTTTTTTTTTTCAAATACTTTTTTTTGTTCGCAGTTGTCCGAAATTGCGGATGGCAAACCGGTAAGCCGACTGCATTTTGACACAAAATTTAAACAACGCTGGAAATCTGACCGGTCGAAATAAACTTACGAAACACCAGATGCATTTTTCTTTTTTTTTTTTAATGCATATTTTTGCTGTTAATGGAATGTTTGAATTATACGCGTGTGTCCACTATCAACATGGCGGACAAAGAAAAACACGAGCACACGGGAAAGGAAATGTAATGGTGGTTGGAATGGAAAAGGAAAGAAAAAAAAACCCCGAGAGTGAAATTGAGAACGGAGATTGAGAAACAGACGGGTCGCAGGAAGGACACTTCCATCACAAATCATGTCACACATCACCGAGTGTCCATTTATCGTTACGATGTAATCCTACAATTGCACCATGATACATAGCTTAATATCCAGACTGTACTGGTTGTCTCCTAGCCACTCGACTAAATATATATATATACAGGGTGATTGAAAAGTAATTTGCTATTTTATGTATGAGTGGCCAGCCAAGAGTCCTGACTTAACAACCTGTGACTTTTTTCTTTGGGTTCGGTTAAAGAAGCGAGTCTAGTATACGAAACAAAGTCTTTGGAAGAAGATGAAGGGCGAATACAAGAGGTTATGTCTTCCATATCAAAAGAGTGCCTGGTGAAATAAGTTGACGTGATTCTTGGGCAGCTCGAGAAATTGGTAGCGAAAGCTGGTGCCCATAACGAATTTTAAATAAAATCTTATGCTAAATGCTTTCCTCTCATAACCATTTCTTGTAAGAATTATAGTTAATAAATAA